TTGTTTTGTTTTGTTTTTATTAAAAGTTAAGGAATTATGATCAAAGATGAATTAAAAAATTGAAAAATTTTTTAGTAATTTGAAGTTTTCAAATTCCCTAGATTTTTAATTTATCCCATCTAGCTTGTTGAGTTTCATAAATGCATAATTTCTTAAATAATCAATGAGTAATCTTAAATATTTACTTAATGCAAAATGCAATTTGAAATAATGCGAAAAGTAGTAATGAGCGGAAATGTCTGTGTACATCTGTTCCATCGTCCTAAAGACCCTTTTCCACTATTCAATTAATTTCCACTATTCAATTAAGTTGACAAAGCAATTCGTAAAAATCTGCGAAAATGTTAGAGCAATCAAATTTGTAAAAATTTTATGTTTTGCGAATATTTGAAATTTGGAAAGTTGTGCAATTTGACGTATTGCGCTACTAATAAGATGATCTTTGTTTTGTTTTTTTTCTTGAAATTTACACATTTAGAATAATTTGTCTATTTCAATAATTTTAAAGATTTACATGATGTTTCCCAAAAGAACTTACAAGTTGTTTTGCTATACTTTCAGATGCTAACCTATTTTATCATCTAATGTATTCTTCATTTTGCTATTTTCTCAGTTAACAATTTACTTAATGATGGTATAACCATTTGGGGTGATTAAATTCAAATATATAACTATTAAAATTTGGTTGAACTGAATTTCTTGCTGTAGCAGAAATTTTAACATGCAGCATGTATTTACTGCATGATGAAAATGCATTTTATCTTGCAGTTGATTGCAGTACTGAAGATAGATAAGCTATTGATAAAATTCAGATATGGCATTTCTTTCTTCCACGATCAAATCTATTTTAAAATATTCTTTTGAATTATGACTATTTTGTCAGTTCCGTATAAAACGATAATCCAATTTTCATCATTTCTTTAACGATGCATCATTATTCGGGGATTATATTAGAAAATAAAAGAATATTGTTATTTGAAATAATTTTACTCTCATTCACCAATTCATAAAATGCTCTTGAGAAAATTTCCATGGAAATTTCTGTTCAACGAATTGAAAAATCATTTCAAATTATTTTTCATTGTGCAACTTAGTGAATTAAAATAAAGTGAATTAATTATATTATAAAATTCATGTGAAATGCATGAAAGGAGGAAAAAGTGTCGTCTTAGAGATTTGATATGAAATAGGTTGTGATGGTAATTAACGCTGATAAATATTGAAATAGGATAGATAATAAAAATTTCGAAGAGATTATATGTTTATATGACTAGAACAGAAATCAATTCATTCTCATTTTTCAGGTTCAATCGAAAAGAACGGACAAAAATAAAACGTAAACCGGAATTTTCGGCAGATATTGTATTGTGTAGTAACGATTGGCCCTATACTGCAACAGTTCAAGATAGTAATTCAATGATAAATGATGATTTGTTATACGGGTCCATTGATAATAATTTTGTAAAGCATAAAGTTATTCGGGTCACTCCTAATTCATTAAGGTTTGTCTTTGAATGACAATTTTACAATAGATTATTTGATTTCTTTTTTCCCTTTGTGCATATATTATCATTTTATATATTTTAACTTTTCTGCTCTACAATTTTGCAGAGTGAATTTTTAATTTTCAAAAATTTTGCAACCATTTTTGCTTTATAATAATTAAATTTTTTCGAGTATAATTATGATCTGTTTGTTTGATTTGACCAAATATTTTTACAATCAGGAATTTTTCACATAGAAGGCATCCATTTCTTTCTAATAAATTATCAACAAATTCGATGAGAAATTCACCATTGCAATCCGCAACGTTATTTCGACTTCGTGAATCATCGGATGGTTATTGTACTATTGGAAAATTATATGAAGAAATTCCGGGAAATAGAATTTTCAATGTTGCACAACCGGAAAATTCCGTAGCATACAAATCGAGGCGAGAAGTATGATTTTTATTTTTTTGATTTTTATTATATCTGTTTGGAAATTATATGTGCAAAACATATGTTCACAGATGCATGGAAATTATACTTTTCTCAAACAAACTTTTGCTACTTTGATAGACCATTGAATAATTCGAGAGGATTGTTTAAAGATGTAACATTTTACAAATTGGATAAGATTGTGAGTTTGATTTTTTTTTTCTGTTTTATTGTGATTTGTTTTTTTTTTTTTCATTTTTAGCTACTCTATGATATATCATCAGTGCGAAGGCCGCCACCAACGTGTCGTCCACCGCCACCACCCATTCAGGATTCTCCGCTTAGTTTAAATTCATCCGGAAGCTCAATGGAAAAGGAGCATGATGTAATGCATGCCGTTTCATCTTCAAAACGGTAAAGTTTACCATAATTTGATCTTTTTTTTGGTGGTTTTAAATTACTCTGAAAATAATACTGCTATGTAATTATGTTTTAAAAAAAAAAGTTGTAAAAGTTTAATGGAAAATAAATTTGCTTCTGATTTCTAAAAATATTATAAATGTTCATTGTTAGTTTAATGTTTTCCTGAAATTTAATGGATTTTTTTTTTCGCAATTAAACTGAAACTATTTACTTGTATAACACATTGTTAGTTTGTGTAAATTGATTTTTAATAGATTGAAAGTAAAATTTTAATTTAAAATTGAAAACTGAAATGATTGGGAAAGGATATTATAGGCGAACATATTACAAATAGATAGCTTATCAATATTTTTTACACAATTTCGTTTTATTTATTTATTTTTTACTCTTTACATTATAAAGGGAATATAGGACGTGCAAAATACTCACACCAAATAGACTGTTCAATTAGAACTTTATCAATTCGTGTAAAAACAGTATTTGACAATTGAAAATTGTCACAAAGTGAAAGTTTTTAATTCTTCCACACTAAATTATTTTGTACATATGCTAGAAAAAGTGCAAATTAATATCACATTTTATATTTGATAGATTTGATCAAATCAAAATTGCACATAGTAAAAATGACGAAAATTTCACATTCATTATACCGTTTGATACAAATAATTCAAAAAAAGATCGATGAAATTTTAATAAATTATTGTAACGTTGCACTTTTATCGCAGTTAAGCTTTTATTAAAAATTACTCTTAAAAAATTCACAAAATATTTGTATTGCTATTCACAAAAAACAAATTTTGTATTGAAAGAATACAGAAAATTAGTTACTTTAATTTATGACATTTCAAACTAAAATGCATAACTTTGACTTGACAAGTTTTCTTTTTCTTTTTCATTTTTGTGTAGCTGCAAGATCTGAAGAAAACATTTTTGATTTTATGCTAATTATATTAAAGATATGAATTTATTATCGATGATAGAGTGTAAATTTTAGTTCAACTGATGATGAAAAATCTCGAAATTCCGGTAATTCAGGTGATAATGGCCATGAAAGTGGTTATGGTACTGCACCAAGTCGATCATGGAATAGTCCGATGATTATGCAACAGAAAAGACGGTAGTAGTACTGTATCGTGTATATTTTAATAAATTAAGCCATTTTCATTTAAATTAATAAAGGAAATTCTTGCAAGAAAATAACATTCGGTCCTAATTACAGTTCACATTATTGAAATTTGATGATTGCTAAATGGCTGAATTTTGAAAGCTGAATTTTGAAAAATTTCAGAATTTCATTGAGGGAATCAGAGGATGCATTTCGTCGTCAGACACCGTTAGCTGTTTATGCTCATCGCAGTAATGCTCATCCAATGACTTACGTTTAATTTTTATTTTTTTAAATGCTAATTTTCATTGTGCTTTTATGCTTATTATTCACTTTTTTACTTCAATTTCAAAATTTCCAACAATCAACTTTGTAATGTAAAAGCTAGAAATTGGAAATAGTGAAATTGCTTCCTATGAATTTTATTTGCTTTTTGCTCAATATTTTCTCTCCTTTCAAAATTTCTAAAGCTTTCAAAATGGAGCAAATTTTAATTAATGATTATACATGCATAAAATTTAATATATAATTTTTTTAATGTATGTATGTGAATCCCGCTACTTTAATTGTTTTAGATTCCATTAAAATGCATATACCTTTCCAATAATTATTTTTAATTTCTATCAGATTTTCGCTCTACCATCACAGTTGCTACAAAATGAAACGCTGTCACTAATAGTGGAAGATAAGATTTTCAATCATTCAAATAAAATAGGCCAACACTGCATGATTTGGAACACTTTTATGAGAATCATAAATTGTTCAGAATGGAATTGAAAATAAAATTTGTGTATTTAATGTAACAGCTGCAATCTATTAGGAGCACAAATTAAATTAGCCAACGCATTTTAGTCTTTTTTAATTCCATTTCAAACACTCAAATGATATAAAATTTGAAAGTAAACTTGAAGTTTCACTCATTTAATGATAATACAATTCAATGAGTGATAATCTCCTATGATAACATCTATCAACCTGTTCAAACTACAAATTAAAGAATGTTATCGGTGTGATAATATGAAGGAGTAAGAGTTGTCACAAGTAACGACTGTTACAGTAATAGATAAGGCTAAAAATGATGAATACCAAGTAAGCTTGAACTTGAAATATTTATGAGGCATAAATTGTCATCGAGAAATGCGGGCATATATATAAATAAAATATATATATATATATATTATTATACCACCTTTCGGCAACTATTTAAGGGTTAATGATTGAAGTAAAAGCAAGAAGACAAAGGCATTTCATCCTGTAATTCTTTAAATGAGGTTAATATTATGTTCATTTTTGAACTGAGTTTTCCTTTTTCATCATCATATTCGAAAGCATCAATTGGATAAGAACCATCTCATAGAATTGTAATCGATGGACTTGAAGTTTGTAATATAAAAACTGAATAATGATATTATTTTTTTACATCCATAAATCATTCTAATCTCAGCATCATATCATTCTAATGTTACATTACGAAAGATCGTAAGATAATGTTCTAAATGGAAATTTTCTTTGGAATATTACCAATTGCATTTTTGGTTTTCAGCATTTGTAATTCAGCACTGTAAATAATTCAGCAAAAATAGAGGAAAAAATTTGTGAGAAAACTTATAAATATATTTATTGCTTTTTTTAATAATGTATTTGTAAAAAAATTCACTTCATCCAATTTTCCAAGTCCTGAAATGTTGCGAACTTAAATAATTAAGTGCATCAAATGTCCGTATTATGAATCAAATGATTATAACTCCATTAAGTGAATTAAATGACTATAACTCGTATGCAAATATGCTTAAATATATAAGGTTAAGTAAAATTGTATTAATTACAAGTGTATTAATTACAAACTTATAATTATCTTTATATAAACAATTATCACACATATGCATTCATGAATTAATAAGAATGTCAAATAAAAGTGTCAATTAGCGTTCGAAAAAAAAAAAAGAAAACATTTCGTTAAGTGTAGGATATAATTTCGCTTACTGAAAGTTTATTCTAAAATTCATTAACGCTTCTCATTTGTCATATTAAATTATTTTTTTTTTGCATTTCCGGAACAATTTCCACTTTGAATTATCGAAAGGAGTAATGTGGAAGAAGTCAGCTTCCTTCTGCTTTGTCGTAGGAATAATTAAACTTTACAGCTCTTCTTTGAAATGCAACATAATTTGGGAAATTTTTGTTGATAGCAATGAAAAGAAATGATTGAATTTAATGCTTTTTCTTTTCTTTTTTTTTAAATTTCCACCTTACATTTAAAATAGCAAAAATAACAATAAATTCGTTCATATTTTGACACTCAATTTGAATATAATCCCATAATTTCATATCGGTGACTATTCTAATTAACTGAAAACAAATTGTATGGTAAGATTAGCAGATTAAATGGATTTTTTTAAAAAAAAAAAAGGAAAACTCATCCTTCTAAATTAACTATTTTAAAATGTAGTAAATTGCATCCATTTTTGTACAACTTTCATTCCCTTCTATTATTTCTTTTTCCTAAATATCCTAAAATCATTCAACAACAATTTCATCGATGGCACTTACTTGATTTATGATCGAAAAACGAGCTCCTCTCTTCCATAGAAATTTCTGGTAGGATGAAAATTTAGTTCATGTGAAAATGGACAGCAAAATTTTGTTACCATTCAATTTATTGACTAATTGATGAAAGAAACTTAAGAAATCGATGACCAAATATTTAAGAATCTGTAACGATTGATATAAGTGGATATCTTCAATTCCATTCAATATGGTGGTGGAACAGTGATGATAATGCTGAATAATATGCCCTATATTTAAATTTTACTATTACACTTCCCTGTAAAAGTAACAAAACAATTTGCATGATAATTCCCTAATAATTTAATTAAATCATTGCGATTACTATTTTTATTTATGCTATCTAAACTCTGGGTTTATTTAAATTTAGAGCTAAATTTAAACCTAAAAAATTACATTCGCTACTGGGAAACCTAAAAAAAAAATTTTATTTATTTAAACTTAAAAAATTTCATTTATTGCTCTGAAAAATTATAGCAGATACTTTTAACTTCTTTCTTTCCATCTCATCTCGAATATCCTGCAAATCCGGTTTGTATGCAAATGCGACACCTCCGATTTTTATATATAATGACTCATTCTGAAAATTGTAGAACACCGCTTATTCTTAATATAATCTGGCAAAATCAATTGCAGAATGCATTTGGTCATCCGGAATTTAAAATATCACTTGTTTATCACAAATCACAATATCAAACTTTTCTCATTTCAATTTCCTTCAGTAATCTAAATTTTCAATTTTAGCGTTAAAAATGAACATGAAGCAGACAAATCACATTTGATTATCATTTCATAATGTTCTTATATTTACTCCAGTCTTTTCATCATCATTTCTACCGTCACATATTCCAAACATACGTCATGCCATTCTCAAATAAATGCATCCCATTAATACTTTACTTATATCTTATCATTCGAATCGCCTACAGATTTGTTGGGATTGTTTAGAACAAAGATATCAATGAATGAGTGAATCTCGAGGAAAACACTGGGATGAATTCGCAAATTAACTTTCTTTCTCTACTTTCTACCATTAGCCCCAATGTAATTCAATACACAAAAACTTCAAGAATAAATTTCATAAATTTAGCGTTAAATTTATAACGAAAGAAACAACACATAATGTTATCTAGCTTAGCCGACTAACTATTCAATTTAAATCATCTCACTAATCAAACCATATTGTTAAAAGATAAAAAAAAGCTCCAAAATGTGCTTAATGAAAGAATTTTTTAAAGTTGTTTATTGTTTTTATATCAGAATTTGAATTGAATACAAATAACGTACATTGAAGATTTCTTCTGGAAATGTGAGTGAATGGTTGTAAACATTACAGTGCACACTAACCGTCACCAAAAAGACAAACCCTTATGCACTGGCAAGATTGGTAACAATTACTGAAATACTGATAATGAACACGGTGATTTGTCAAATGAATGAATACACCGATTGGAAATTTGAAAAATTAGACAAAATGAAAAACTGATCACCGATTCTGCATTTGAAAAATATATTTGCGGTAAAAGAAGTCATTAAGGTACTGATATTGCAAGTAGATTGAAAAAGTGTTGCCTATATGTATGTGACAAAAAATTTCACAATTCGAAGTTTTTGGATTTTTTTAAAAATTCTGAAATCATGTAAGATGAAGATATAATAGCACCTTCTCAATTCACTGGACGAGTTCGACTATTCCCAAAAAATGTCTTTATAATAGAGAAGAGTGTGACCAATTTGAGAAAAGCTTCAAAAGTTCAACATAAAATAAAATATGAGAAGTAGTAATATTATCCAACAAATACGAAAGAAGACTGTTCAGCTATGCTGATTTGCACATTACATTTATAATAAAAATGTGAATCGAACATTTTGAGGAAGAAGCAATAACATGTCTCAAACTATGTGACCTTTAACACATGCAGAACCGGAGAAGAACAGAAGTTATTACAACATGAGATGAACAAAAAAGGTAATGATTACAGACATATATGAAGTGGTTCGTAGCTCCTTACAACAAAACTAAATTCGCTCAAAATTTTTTCTATATTTTGCAAAACGAACAATGAGTGAATACACCATATCCCGAAAAGACCCCTGAAATGAACAATCTGAAAATGAAAATACCAGTGTGGACTGGTCATTCAAAAAACAAAACTATTACACAGAAGGAGAAAAAGGCAAGTGAAGAGTAAAAGAAAATACTGAGCTGAAAATTGGCAAATAAACTTCGCAAAAAAGGCTTGGAGATGATAAAACGGGCATAAAACATCGATCGATGAGAATTATTAGAATGATACTTCTCGCAACACAACCATTAAAATTATGAAAGGAAATAAAGAAAAGGTGAAATGTGCAAGATTTTCAAAGTGATAGAATTGAGTGAAGACGTTTCGAGAAATCGATAGGTTACATTTGTATTACTGCTTCCAAATGCAACAAAATAACACTGATCTACCTGACGAAGAAGACCAAAATATTACTACTCAAACGTGAATTCATACTGATATTAAGCATATAAATCTGAATAACTTATACAAGTCTGATTATCTTCTTCTCTAGATTTTATCTTATCTTAAATCACAAAAAAACCAATCTCATTTTAGGCACTTCTC